CGCAGGCGCACAAAGGCCCATCTTTAATACCCTCACTGTACCGAATGGAGGACCATGGGGTGAATGGGGGATAAAGGAATTATGCCCCCATGGCTACGCCTATGGATTTGCATTGAAGGTAAAAATTTTCCTATCTCCCTGCCACTTCCTCACCCCTCCTGCCCCTTCATCACCCAGTCTCCGATGAGAACTTTTCTCAACTCAAGGATGCTCCGGTGTTTTTAAAAGCCTCCTCACACTCCATCCAGCCATTGGCATACTGGGCTATTCAATTTATTATAGGAAATGGGGCAGGAAATATGTTTTACTCCAGAGCTGGGGCCAAAAGGATATGAGAATACAATTATCTGTACAGCTGGGTTAATGAGGCTTTGCTTTGGCCACAACTAGAGATATCTGTTGCAACAGAAATGCACCGTGTGTGTGAGGACAGGGCTAGGAGGCAATATTAGAAGCACTAAAATTGTCTGGCTTGGCTAAGCCGTGAGTAAGAGGAGGGGATGCTCCGAGGTCGACATTAAAGGCATTTGTCGACCTCCCTGGTAAACCTCATGCCACGAGGCATATTGGGGAGGTCAACAAATGCCTTTGAATTCTACCGTGGAGCATCCAGACTACAGCGCTGTGCCACCAAACAGTTGATCGGCTCAGCACAGCAGCCATTTTAATTTAAATGAAGCAGCGATTATTTAAATCGCTGTTTCATTTCCCTTTGCCTACAACCCTAATCTACATGGCTCCGTCAACAGAGCCATGTAGTCTAGACATGCCCCGAGTGTCTGAAGGGTGTTAAGTGGGTGGTTGGAAGGGGGGGGAGCATTTTATTTGTGGGGCGGGAGAGGGAAGAATAGGATGAAGGGAATAAAATGGGTGAATGAAGTTTTGCCTGCAGCTCATTCTGAGGGCAGGACTCCACTAGAAGTTTTGCTTGAAACTCACAACTAGGCCTGGTAAGGGTGTGATTTGTTTTCATTTTCTGATATTTCTATGCTTATGAAAGTTCTAGTTGATGTGCCACGTTCCTCCCTCCCGCACCTGCCTAAGGCTTTGGGAGGGAGTTTGGGTGCAGAAGGACTGAAGAGTTAGGCTTAGGGAGGGTGTTTGGGGGCAGAAGAAAGCTTGAGGTGCAGGAGGTGGTACAGACTCTGGGAGGCAGTTTGGGTGTTGGGTGCAAGGTCTGTGTCGGGGCAGGGGGTGGAAATGCAGGAGATAGTGAAGGGTGAAGGTTCTGGGAAGGGGTGGGGAGCCAGGAAGGAGATGTGGGGGGAGGGGAGGTGCATTGCTTACCTGGGGCAACTCTCTCTGTCAGTGGCTCCCAGGCAGGGATCTCCTGGGGGGTCTCCACATGATCGCTGTGCTCTGGTGACAGTAGGCACCTCCCCTGCAGCTCCCATTGGCCTTAGAGGAGACTTGGGGTGGGAACAGTGCTTGGAGACACTCCCCCACACAGAGGGTGCAGGGTGGTGCCTGCTGTCACCTGCAGCCATGCGTGGAGTGAGAGAAGGCAGGAAGCCACTTCAGCCCCACTGCACTGCTGCTGGTGGTGGTTGTGGGGGGTGGGCCCTCAGGCCCTTTTAAGTTGCCTGGAGACAGTAGGCGAGGCTGGGAGACACACTGGGGAAGGTGTGCGATGGTGGCTGGCGGGGCTGGGGGAGACACTCAGCCCTGAACTTTGCAGGAGCTAGGTCCCTGGGCAGCAAGGGCCCATAAAACTCTCCACCTCTCCACTACCAGTAAGGCTAGAATAGAAAAACTATTCTAGGGTAGACTGGCCCTCGGGTTTCCCTGCTAGCGAGGGATCTGTTGGGCTGTAGAGTGTAAGGGTACATCTAGACTACATGCCTCTATCTCCAGAGGCATGTAGATTAGGCTACCAGGCACAGGAAAATGAAGCGGCGATTTAAATAATCGCCGCTTCATTTAAATTTACGTGGCTGCTGCGCTGAGCCAACAAACAGCTGATCAGCTGTTTGTTGACTCAGCGCGGTAGTCTGGACGCGTGGGGGTCGACATCAAAGGCATTTGTCGACCTCCCAGGTATGCCTCATCCCAGGCATACCTTTGATGTCGACCCCCGCGCGTCCAGACTACCGTGCTGAGCCGACAAACAGCTGATCGACTCAGCGCGGCAGGCATGTAAATTCCCCTGGGTGGTCGACAAATGCCTTTGATGTCGACACCCGCGCATCCAGACTACCGCGCTGAGCCGACAAACAGCTGATCACTCAGTGCGGCAGCCATGTAAATTTAAATGAAGCGGCGATTATTTAAATCACCGCTTCATTTTCCTATGCCTGGTAGCCTAATCTACATGCCTCTGGCGACAGAGGCATGTAGTCTAGACGTACCCTGAGGGAATGAGTGGGAGCTCCGTCCCCACTGATTTAAATCCAGTCTGGATATCTCCCTTCCCAAGCTACTTTGAATCTGCGTGTTGCTGCAAGAGTGGATGCAAATCCAGTGTGGGAGTTGTCAGTAGGGGCAGCCTGGTCACTCTTCCCATCTGGGATCCAGGGTCTCTGCTTAACAGAGTGGACATCAAAGAAGTGGAAAACATACAAGGGAGTATAAAGGGAAGGTTGTTTAGTTGCCTTCCAGCTTCCCAGGTCAGTGGCTGTATTGTGTGGCAGGAGCCTCCTGTTATGGCCCTTTTAAGAAAAGCTGTTAATCTAGTAACAGGAAATTGGGAGGGCTTATTGGCTTTCAAGTTGGGTTTCCCTGCTCTTGTCCTCCCAATCTGTACCTGTGCCACCCTCTCCTGTACCCCTCTCCTAGGTGGAGCCTTCCCAAGGTGCTGGAGTAAAACGCGATGACACGGCTTTGAATGGCATTCGTCTGTATTGCACTGATGGCTCCATCATTGAGTCCACAGTGGGACCGTGAGTAGCTCTTTGATTTCTCTCCCGTCCTTTTAGCTCTGCAGTAACCATGAACAATGCCATTTACATAACCCAGGGTTGGGGAAAGGGGTTTTTAGTGGCAGCCTTTCATATTCATTGGGTGAATCCTGGCCCTCCTCAAGTGAGTGGGATTTTGCCATTGCTATTGTTGTCCATTGTTGGCTCTGTGCGCAGCTCTGGCCAGGTAGCTGGTACAGCAGACCTTGTCTGAACTGACCAAGAAGACCACAGACTTGGTTCAGTGGTAACGGCGCTCAACCAAGTGTACAGTCAACCAAGCACAGTGCTAGTGCACCACAGACTTCACAGGGGCACTAATACATGGCTGTCCATGACAGTGGACCAGCTCAGTAAGTGGCATGACCTCCTGCCTTCCCCTAGGTCAGACACCCCTCTTCAACATCTCTTTCACTCACTGATACAAACCAGTTACCTGTTACCCTTTGGATGGGGTTAGTTACCACCCCTACACCTAATACCTGCTTGTTTGAACAAAACATTTTCATCCATCCTCCCTCCCTGTTCTCCCATCCTTATTGTACTTGGAGTTGGTGTAATCCTGTTCCATCTCCCACTGTAGTGTTTATGCCATGCCTATTTGTCAGGGCTTACCTGCATCTTCTGGAATGTGCATACATGAATGCCCTATGCCTAGTACTTTTGCATGGCCAAAGCAATGTCATTACCATTAAATACCTGCCCGCTGTCTTCAGCCTGGAGCATATTTGGTGCACGTTTTGTTAGCAGTGATGGATCCACTTACAGAGGGACATTTATGATAAAGCAGTTTTCATAGCAACATTTCATAACAACTCAATAATATCAACCTGAACTGATTAGTTCTACACACATTTTCCTATATTGTCACCCAAGGCTCTCCTCCTGAGACCACCAGGGAGTCCTCCAGCAAAAGGAGACCAGGCTTGGCACTTCTGATCTTTCTAAGGTTAAATACAAGCAAGAAAAAACACTGGTCAAGAAAAAGAAAGCAAAATACCCAGGGTCTTCCAGGTCTGTTTTCAGGTCACTGCTGTGCCTTCTATGGCTACTGCCTTTGGTCACAGTAGCTAGGATGACAGGTGCCCCAGGTGGATAGCAGACCCTGAGTAAATCTCAGGTGATTATTTTATTTTCTGACAGGTGGGGCAGCTGGACTGGGATCCATTGGTGCCCCAAAAGCAACCTGATCTCCTTCTCACTGAGGGTGGAACCGTCCCAAGGAATAGGTGATGACACGGCAGCCAACAACATCCAGTTCATATGCTCAGACGGGACTGGACTGATGGGCACCTCCCACTCCTGGGGTTATTTTGGCCCATGGAGTCATCGCTGTGTCCTTGGGGCCATTTGCGGGATCCAGACAAAAGTGGAAGCACACCAGGGTGAAGGGGATGACACGGCACTCAATGATGTGAAGTTCTTCTGCTGCAAATAAGCAAGCACTTGTCCCTTTCCATCCCCCAACACCAGCACCTGCCCATTAAACACCATTAAAGTTTAGCTCTGCTCTTGACAAAGGGGGTGACTGTGTCTTATTCACCGAAAGCAGTATGTGAGTGTGTACCATCACCATGCCTACAGCGGAGAGCTGGGAGGAGAGGAGACTGGGAGGAGTGTGAAAGGGGGAGAGAGAAAACTATGACATGGGGAAAGAAGGGAGGCATGGCCATATTAGGTTGAAAGGAGTTTTCCCAAGATGTTGGGAAAGAAGTAATTTTATTCTAAAAATAGTTAAAATTTGTTAGCCAGAGGACCAAGAAATGACTAGGCCAAATCTTGTGTATGTGAATATTTTTTGTAAAGAAATAGGCAATGAAAGGTACAAAAAGGTAAATGAGTTACAGCTGTATGTGTTTCTAAATATGACATGTTTCACAGGGGGAACATCTGCACAGCACCCTAATCTTGAAATAAGATATGCAATTTATGCTATGCAAATGGTGTATCTTATTTTGATTCTATTTTTAAATAACGTATTTTGAAATTTGCCACTTTTATACATTGCCAAATTTTGAAATAACGCACTATTTCAAGATATCCCTTAATCCTTGTGGAATGAGGGTTACAGAGATGCCAAAATAGCACACCCGTTATTTCTAAAAATTATTTCAAAATCACAGGCAATTTGTTAAGACCTCCGGTATCCGAAAATGTACACAGGATCTCCAGTAAAATTACACAATTACACAATTTTACAAGTCATCAAAGTTGCAAGACCAGACACAATGCATGTGGGCAATACTACATACACATAACATTTTATGGCATGAGTAACATTGTGAGACAGCATACATGAATAGCGGGAGGAAGAATAATAGGAGAGAGTGAAAAACAGAGGAGTAAGATTGAATGGAAGTATGCTATTAGTTGAACCATCTCAACACTTTTATCCAAATGTATGGAGGAACAGGGTCCACATTTCTTTTAATTCATACACTTGATTTCTGTGGTGTTAAGCGAATCTTGGTTGCTATTCAGCCACCTCTGAATGCCACTGCTCTGTTCTGGGCATAAAACTACCCATCCATTTTTGAAAAACATATGCACTTAATCATTGCATCCTTTAAAACCAAAATGCTTATGGCATAGTTAAAGAGTGGCATTTTTTTCTATCCTGCTCTTTCCACAGCTTCCTGATCCTGGACAGTCCCACACCATATGCATAAGGGTTCCTTTTTCTTTGTTACACTACCAACTAACATCAGAAGATAAGTCCTTTATGTTGAGCCAGCTCTGTCGTGTCCAATACATTTTGAATAAAATTATTTGTTGTATTAAACAGAGACTGAGATCCACATAAGCACTTGTAACATTCCAGAATATGTTTTACTATTGGGTTTCTTTAAAGGGTTGTGATCAATCCCCTTCAACGTTGTCACAAAGAACTGCAGACTAATGGAGTTAATCTTAATTAGGGACTCAATCGTAATAATTGTTTCTCATTGCCCATACAGGAATGTGATTCCTGCCATTTCAGTCACATGGCTTTCTTTGCTGTACTTTAGTGACACTGTGATTGAAGCAGGACAAAAATCACTGCTGTGAACCAATCCATCACGAATGAAAACAAAAACAGTGGAAACAAAAGAGAGAGACTAAACAAGGATTATTTCCACTACAATCTCTTTGGCATTGCTGGGGCACAGCTGTCTCTCAGCCTAATCGCTAGGCAACCCAGTAGGATGGTTGTGCTTTCTGACAAGGAAAGCGAACCAGTGAGCTGCTACTTGAGCCTGGCAGCAGCTGCTCTAGGTGTTCTGCAGCTGTCGTTGTTCCTATTCTGTTGTCTCCTCTAGCCAGAGTGCCACCCCCTACTCCATGAGTGGGCAAATACCGACCTGTGGGCCAGATCAGGTCCATCAGGGTTGCCGCCTAGCAGTCTCCCACATTTATATTTATTTGCATGGCTGCAGTTACCAGCAAACACTCATCAGGGTTGCCGCCTGGCAGGCTCCCACATTTATATTTTTTTGCATGGCTGCAGTTACCAGCAAACACTGTTTCTGACCAATGGGAGCTGTGGGAAGCAGTGTCCTGGTCCACACCACTTCCCACCACTCCCATTGGCCAGGAACAGCAACCCGTAGCCAATCAGAGCTGCGATCGCCGGTACCTGCAGTAATGCAGGTAAATATAGCTGCAGCAACCCACCAGGGGCTAACCCTGGTGAACTGTCACCATGTTATTTTCCACTCCTGCCCTATTCCTGCCTTACCCCCAACCCTATTCCTGTTCCAGTCCCAGTGCTCCTGCTCTATTTCATTCTTACTGCTGTCTCTGATGAGCTCTTGGCTATGTCCCTGGCTGACTACAACTAGCCCTTTGGGTTTTGATGTTTGGTTTAGTCTCTTGACTCTGACTTCAGCTTCCCCTTTGGAAGCCTGTTTCCAGGTGTATGTAGCCTATTTTAATATCCCATGAAAATCATCACCCCAGTAAATCTAATTCCTTGGAAATGCCTTGGGAAACTTCCTCTCTCTCATGATGTTGAAGTGTTGGTGATATTCTTATGTGGCAGAATCGGTGATTGTGTTTCTTTGCTTGCTTGAAGGAGATGAGAATGTTGAGACAGCTGTGCTGTCAAAGTTGAGAGAGAGAGAGAGAGAGAGAGAAGCAGAGAATGCTGCCTGCCTGAATGAGAGACTTACAATGGTCTCTTTTTATAGCTTCACTGGGGCTACGTCTAGACTGCATCCCTCTGTCGATCAAGTACATCGAAATTGCTAATGAAGCAGGGATTTAAACATCCCACAACTCATTAGCATAAACATGGCCACTGCTTTTTTTCAAAATGGAGGTTTTTCGAACCCCCGCCCTCCCAAAAAAAATGGTAGTCTAGACGCGGCTCTGTTGAAAATAAAGCCTTTTTTGATAGATCCTGTATTCCTCAAAAAATGAGGTTTACAGGATCTGTTGAAAAAGACTTTATTTTCAACAGATCTGTGTCTAGACTGCCGGTTTTTTTTTTTCAAAAACACTCAGTTTCGAAAAAAAGCGGCGGCCATGTTTACGCTAATGAGGCACTGGATATTTAAATCCTGGCTTCATTAGCAATTTTGACATGCTTGATTTGCATCCCTGTTAACAGAGGGATGCAGTCTAGACATAACCTGGGTAAAAGACATACCCCTTACTACCAGAGGAAAAAATTGTCTAGTCTCTGCTTTGTATTTCTGATCTCCATGCCAACTAAGCGAAAGCCACGCCACCCGGAGATGCATGCTGAGGAACTTGAGCATACTCAGTAAGAATTTAGGATTTGTTTTTTTTAAAAAAGTGTTGTGGCAAAGAAACAAGTGGGTGTGGCTCAATAGAATCAGCAATTTGTTGGAAACTGGTTTCCTGTAACAAATAGCTTCTCTTAGAATCATTTGAAGGATACACTATATTGTATTTTAAGTGCTCTTTAGTTTGCAATAAGGGATTTGTTTCTCAGGGCTTTTGTGCCTTTTTCAGGATAATGAATAATCACTCTCCAGTATATACCACTAAAAAGATACAGGCTGTATTCTTTCCAAAAACAAAATGTCAGTTACTTTATCAGCTATATCCATGTCCTATAGTGTTTCCTTGGTTATCCCAGGAACTTTTACCTTGGGAAAAACAGATTGAAGCAGTGTCCACCAACCAATTGATCACAATTGACTGGTTGTTCCTGAAAATACAGGTAGTCCCATGGCACTTTAGAGACTAATAAAAATATAAAGGATCATGAGATTTCATGGGTAAGACCCAATTCATCAGATTCATTGGAGTGGAAATAAGAGAATCCAAGATACATTTAATAGCAAAAGAAGTACCAGTTAATTGTAGGACCCATGTTAATGAAGCTAATTAAGTGGGCTGGCTGTGTTCCATTCATAGCTTTTGATGTGAAAATGTGGATGTCAAAGGCAGGGGATATTGGCTTTGTAGTGCATCAACCAGTTAATGTCTTTATTCAAGCCAAGGGTAAAAGTTTCAAATTTACAGATGAATTCCAGTTCTGCTATCTCTCTCTGTAATCGTGAGCAGTAGGCTTCCTGCTTGTCCTGTCCCCATGCTGCCAGCCCATTTCCAGAAGCATTGGGGTGGGGCAGGAGTTTCCATGCTCTAATCCTGCCTGCAAATGTCATCCCTCTCAGCTTCCATTGGGCACAGTTCCCTCTCCCTGGCCAATGGGAACTGAGGGGGCAGCGTGTGGAGGTATGTGTTCCCTGCCCCACACTTCAAGGGCTACAGGAGTACATTGGCCCCTCTGGGAGCGGCATGGGGCCGGGGCAGGCAGGGTGCCTGCTTCATCTTTGCTGTGCCACCTACCTTGGACAGCTCCTGGTAAGTGCTGCCTGGCAGGAGGTCACACACCAACCCTCAGTCTCCTCCCACAGCCAGAGCCCTGTTCTTCCTCCTGTTCCCCAAGTACCAGCCCTGGCTCCCCTCACAGAGCCTCTGCACTTCATACCTCCTCCTGTGCCCCAAGCTTGTGCCCACCCTAACTCCCCTTCCAGAGCCACCACCTCAATCCTTCTCCTGCACCCTGAACCTCCTCTTGTACCCCAAGCATCTACCTCATCCACCTCACAGCACCCTGCATGCCAACCTCCTGCCCCAGAGTGGTGAATGTGATGGTGGAAGGGAAGGGGGATGGAGTGAGCAGGGCAGGAGAGAATTTGGGAATAAAAAGGTTGGAGACCACTGGCTTAAGGGGATAATAGGCAGATTATTATAGCAGCTCCCCCCAAATGGAATTTTTGGGCAATATCTTATATGGTATGGGTGAGTTTTAATATTAGCTCCTTTCACTCTCATCCTTGGCTTAACATCTTCATACATGGGTCTGGTAGTATTTTGAGCTCATGAATAAGCCATTTTTTGCCTTTATTCTTCTAGAGGCAATTCTCAAAATATCTTTGACGTTCAGTTTTAATTCTTGTTGATGTAGCTAAGTAGATGAAATAACTCTTCTGTCTGTTTAGCTACCACCTCTTGAAGGGGCAGATTTATCACAGGGATAGAAAAACCC